TAAAAATAAAATAAAATTTTATATTTTAGTATTATATCAATTAATTATAAAAAATGTAATTACTGCATTATTAACTTGACAAAGATTAAACAAACTTTATTAATTATTATAAAAAAATAAAAATTAACTTTAAATTTATTAATTACTTAATAAAAATTATACATGTGTCATCAATGTTAAAAATAAAATTAATTTTTATATTTTAGTATTATATCAATTAATTATAAAAGATGTAATTAATGCATTATTAACTTGACAAAGATTAAACAAACCTTAATATTTTGGTTAAACCCCTATTTTGGTCCCTGAACTATTGTACGGACCAAATTAAGGATTTCTTTAGTTTAGGGACCAAATCGGAGGTCCTTAAATTATTGGTCCCTAAACTAAAGAAATCCTTAATTTGGTCCTTAAATTATTGTACGGACCCCTAAGTTGGTCCCTAAACTATTGTGCGGACCCTTGAGTTAGTCCCTAAACTATTATACAGATCTCCAATTTGGTCCCTACTATTTACCAATTTAACCCCAACTTGGTTCTTCTGTTAAATAATAGCTTAGGGGCTAAATTGGGATGAAATTGTAAACAGTAAGGACCAAATTAGGGGTCCATACAATAGTTCAAGGACTAACTTAGGCCAAATTATAAACAGTGGGGACCAAATTGGGGATCCGTACAATAGTTTAGGACCAAATTAGGGATTTCTTTAGTTCAAGGATCAAATTGAGGGTCCGTACAATAGTTCAGGGACCAAAATGAGAATTTAACCTAATATTTTTGCTCAACCAATAATCACATTTAATTCACGCGATTAGTCCCATTAATTTTATAGATATAGTCAAGTGATCATATGACAATTATAGCACAATTGATAACTGCTACTCTCTATTAAGTATTAGTTTATCCATTTATAATTATTGAGAAATTTATTTATTATAATAATTAAAATTTATTTTTTCATTTTTACCTTTATTTATAATTAACTAAAAAAACTTTAATGTATTTTTATCTCTTTTGAGATAATAGTAAATTGAAATATTAACATTTAATGTGTTATTAAAATAAAAAAAATGGACAATTTAATTAAACCATCTATATTTAAAAGTGAGACTAACAGAATGACATAAATCATTTTATTAAATAAGTTAATGCATATACAATATTATAAGTCTCAATTAATTAAAACATAATTATTAAATAATATAAAATTTATTTTTTAATATTTTAAATGATATAATTTATATCGTATTATTTATCTGAAATTTTGGTCCAAAAAATTTGGTTGCCTTTACCATTACCCAATTAAGTAGCACAAATGTACCGTGCATCTCAAATTTGCTGAACTAATTAATAAAGATAAAAGTTGGAAAGTTTAATTTAAAAACAAGAATATGGTGAAGAAAAAGGAAGGAATAACAAGTTACAAGTTCTGCTAGTTGCTCGAAGAAAGAAATACTTCTGTCGCTTAATCTAAATCCAAGCCAATAAGAAAAAGACACATTAGAAACGTTTGAATTTCATGTTGAAGAGCCATGATAAGATGTCATTTGAGATTTGCTGATATCTCAATATAAGTTGCAGAAGTTTTAAAATTATTTTTTTTAATGAGATATCCCTATATAATACAATAAAATTTCTCTCCAAACTAAGAACAAAACTTAGTTCAATCACTCCATAGAGTTAATTTTTAGCTGTTTTAGTTAAAGGTCATGCTGAAGTGTTATTTAAACTATAATGATACCTCAACATGAGATGTAGAAGTCTTTAGGGTGAAGCAATCAACAATGCATGCTAAGAATGGCAACACTACCTAAACCATTCCAAGGTGAAGTAGTCAACAATGTAGTGTATTTGATTAATCGATCACCTTCAATTCCTCTAAACTTTGACATATTGGAGAAAGTCTAGACGGGATGAGATGTTGGATACTCTCATTTAATAGTCTTTGGGTGCAAAGTATTTATGCAAGTGCCAAAGGAATAGAGATCAAAGTTGGATAATAACATCATTCCATGTTTTTTTGTTCAATATGGTGATAAGGAGTTTGGCTACAAATTATGGGACTAAGAAAAGATGAAGATTGTCAGAAGTAGAGATGTTGTGTTTTATAAACATGAGAAAATCTAGGATTTGAAGGAGGAAAAGGCCACCATAAGCACTTGAAAGGATGCAGCCAATCTAACACCAGCAAAAACTTCTTTAGGGGAAATTATAGATGAAGTAGATGAGCAAGGACTGAAAGACAAGACAGATGAGCCAATCATCATCATCGAAGAAGAAAAAACAAGTATGGATGGAGGAAGTCACCAGCGGAGACCAGGGGGGCCTGAGGGGGCACACTTCCCCCTAAACTTTTAAAAAATAGAAACTTTGATCCTCTAAGTTATATTTTTATTATTTCAATCCTTGTTCATTTTATACATTTTAATTATTTTCAACCCATGTTTTTTCAAAGATTAGTGTTAGTGATTATAAAAAAAATGAGGAAAATAAAAATAAAATAAAATACTGTAAAAAAAATTAATGGAATATAAAGTTGTTCCATATTATCTTTGTATAAAATATATAGTTGTTTATTAATACTTTTTTTGGGTTCATTAATAGCCCTCTTTTTTTTGGTTTATTAGTATTCTTCTATTTAAAATATGTATATTTTTATCTTTCACTTAATGTCATATATATAATAACATATCGTCAATTAATATTAGTTTATTAATAAAAACTAACAAATCTTAATTTAAAATAATTTTTTATTAAAAATTTTCTTTTCATTTACTTTTTAACTAATGTAAAGATGCATGTCTTTTTTTTTTTTTTCAAAAATTCAGTTGGCGCTCTAGAGGTACAATTTCGTAAAGACAAAAACTACTTGATGAAGGTTATGCAAGAAGAACAGGAAAGGATTGAGTTGGTGTTGGTTGGGCATCGGAGTTTGGTAGGATCTTGGTACCGATTATAGGGGCTGGGGGCCTCTGCTGGCGGTGGCTAAGGATAGTTAATGGTGCCATGGTGGTAATCGCAATGAGGATGGTT